GTACTAGTGAAACTATATTTGACAAAGGAATAGCGAATTAATAAGAGCATGCTTGGATATAAAAAGTTTTTGTTTTGATTGAATTTTTAGTTTGAATTGATTAAATTTGAAAAAGTTGATATGGTTAGTTGTTAGTGAATATATTAAAATAATATTTACAATAAAATTACTAAAATTAAGACATGGCCAGTCAACGGCGGTGGCCCGACAAGCGGCGGGCCTCACATGGATGACCCTTGACCGGCCCGCCAAAACCAAGGGTCGGGTCCGTCAAAGCGGCCAGGTCCTGGCCCGATCCCGGACAAAAAAAGAAAAAGAAACAGACCCGAAAGTGACTCGTAAAGCCACGGTGCCGGTTCTCGGAACCGGCAATCTACGGGCCGGTTGCGGGCCGGGTTGCTGTGATGGTTAGTTAAAATTATGTGAGTTGATGTATGGTGAATTAAAGTTGATGTTATGTGTAAGAATAATTGATTGACATTATTTAATTATAGTGTAAATTGCACCAAACTCCCCTGTATTATAGGAAATGAGCACGTTACTACCATGTGTTTTAAAAACTGCATCAGACCCCCTTATGTTTAAGTACGTGTTGCACGCTTCCCCCATACCGTCCAACATAACGGCGCGTGGAAAACGCCTCTTTCAACTACAACAATTATTCAATTTTTTTATTTTACAGAATTAACAATTTACATTTATGCCCTCTTGAATGTTGCGAAATCTAAAATTGTATATGTTGATAGCAAGATTCAAAACTGGGTGGGAAGAAAGGGCACACCCGCTCTACCACTAGGCTACTTGGATGGATGTGAAAATAATTGAACATAAATATATTTATACACATACGTAAATGAATTAAATATTTAAAAATAAAGTAAATAAAATAAAATAACAGTATAATAGGCTAATTTACTATAAATTAAATAATTAATACTAATAATAACTTCCAAAAAATTAAATTAACATAAAATAATAAAAAATAATAATGTGACCCAGAAACGGAATCAAGTCAGAGTGACATAAAGTAAGACAAAATATAATATAGTAGCGTGAAATTAAAATTTAATAAATTTACATTTTAATTATTAAAATAAATTAAATAAATAGATTTTAAATGAAAATATAATACAAAAATTGAATTAAAAAATAAATATAATTAAAACAAACTAATTAAAGTAACATAAAAATAATAATTATAAATGAAATAAAGTATAAAAATGATAAAGTAAAATAAATAATAAATAAAGTAACCTATTATGAAAAAATAAATTAAGTAAATATAAATATTAAATTCATAAAAGAAAATAAAAAATATTATTTGTCAAATAATTTTAATATGGTTTACTCTTACATACAATATGAATAAAACAAATTAAAACAAATTATAATTTTTAGTAAATTATTCTAATGTAAATAAATTATTTTAATTTCTAAATTTTATTTCTTAAAAAGTTAATTTTATTTCATTGTATGAAGTTAAACAAAATAAATAAAGATTGTTAACGAAGATAAAATTAAATAAATAACGAAACAAAATAATATAAAATAATATAAGTTAAAATAAATAATAAAATATAAAAATAATATTAAATAAATACATTAAATTTTATTATAATATAATTATAATTTTTTATATTCATTTATAATTTTCTTTTAATTATTTTCTATTCGTTTAATAAAAAAAAGTTATTTTAATTATTGTTTTCGTTTAATTTTATATAATTCAGTTTATTATATTTTAATTTATTATAAGTTTATATTTTAATAATTTGATTTAAAATAAATTACATTATCTTCTAAATTT